CTGCTAGACAGAAAATATAGTGAAGCATCAGTGATTAAATTTAGAGGGAACAGAGAAATGTCAGTTAAAATTTTATTCCATAGCCAAGTGCCCTTTTTCTAATACAGTTCAATTCCAACCCTAGAAGCTCACGAAATTGGTGAATAAGTGTCCTAGAAAAGCTAAGCGCTTGTTTTCCAAGTATTAAACAACAATGTATTTCTAGTTTCACGTTTCTTGTTAACCTGTGACTCTAAGACAGCTATGCTCCCCAATGAGGGTGGTGCTTTGGTTTTAGTGTAACCAGCTTCTTCTAGAGTCACATGCCACGACCACCACCTCTTGGAACTCACAATATATAGAGTCTAACATTGGTTAGACAGAATTTTGCATCGAAAACTATAGGCTAGGAGATGGAAAGCATGCCATTGAGGAACAAATCTGATTTGGAGTCAGGTAAACAGAGTTCATTTTCAGCTGGGGAAGGAAGTCCTGACTGAACAGCTTGGTAATCACAGCTCATCTTTAACAGCTCTGATGCAAGGACTGTGGACATGTGCAGAGTCCCACCCTGCTCACCCCTAGGGTATGTGGGCTGCAAACACCAAGGAGCCTCTGTCGGTATTGGAAGGAAGGAGGGTTCAGAAGAGGACGAAAAGCAAGGAGGAACCGAGGGTGGGAACCAGCAAGCTTGAGAAGCATCCTCATGCCACGTGTTAGGGACATGGGGAATGGAATGCATTTCCACACCCTAGAAGTACTTGAAGCAGAAGATTGACACCCCTGTCTGCATGCTGGCTTCCCCAGAAGCCAGTGAATCAGTGTCTGAAACACCAGGGAGTTTCTTGGGAAGCAGCCAAGTGCAGAGCATCAGGCAAGTGAATTACTGTCACTCTCCCTGTGCAAGGTACAGGCTGGCCCTGCCCAGGATGACAGAAAACAGACCAAAATCCCACTGATGGAGGCTAGAATCAGTTTAGCTCAAAAAAGGGCAGAAGGGGCAGTCAGAGAGACAGGATTTCAGAGCTCTCTGTAGTAGTATTTCAGTAGTTTTACCATAGATAATGTTAATCTTTCCCTTGTGGGAGATGTACAAAGTAATGCTTTGCACACTAGCCTTTAGTCAAACTGCATTTCGATTTGCTACAGAAGAACGAGAATATTTCTGTCCAAAGCCCATTCAACTACTAGCACTATGAAATCTCTGGACTCAAGCTGCTCATCCTCATGAAGTCATTAACTGGAAAGAGGCTTTCTAAAAGTCCTTTATATCCCATTTGGAGTGGGCAAGTAAGTGTGGGACAAACATATTTATTTCACAAAGTAGTTGGAAACAGACACTGCCCAAATGCTTCTGAACAGTCAGCACCCTGTGCTGCAACAGTTTGTAGCTAGAAACTTGGGTAATAGGAGCTTTCCTCTTTTCCCAAGTCAGATTTAATGACTAAAAACAAAAGGGTATGCCAGGTCAAAAACATTCTGCAATGTCTGCAAAGAGTCAAAATCAGGTTTCACACCAGAAAGTCTATATGCTGCAAAAGCAAAATTGTAAGACAGCTTTTTACAGAGAAACCTGCTCTACTTCCAAAGCCTTGAAAAAAGCAGCCACTGCTCAGCAGCAGTACAAACAGAAATTACTAGATTAGCAATTGCAGGAACACATCACAGTTCAAAGCAATCAGAATACTGACAGCCATAGCCTTGTCCTTACTCATCCCACTATGGGACCCAAGACCTTCTCAGGATGAGACAGCAAGCACAGACTAAGAATCAGGCAGGAGCCCTCGCTTAGTTCCCATTAGCAGCGTCAACAGGGAGACCAACTCGACCAGCCTTATTCCAGGAACTAATCTAGACACCAGCTCAGACATTTGAAACACACTGTCAGCTGGCACAAACCCAGTAACACATTTTTAAGAAAGAGAACAGGAAAAAGAGTGGCTGATCTGCCAGATTCCACTTTGCCTCAGTGGGCTAAAGAGAGAGGTCAGCAGATGACAGCTTGAGAAAGCAGTGAGCTGAGACAGGACAGTGGAACACAGTAAGAGATTAAGGGAAGAGCCAGTACAGATGAAAGCACAGCAATATAAACCCAAGGCAAGGGAGGTTTTTGCACATGCAAGAACTCTGTAACAATCTGCTGAGAATCAGCCATAAAATGAGATAATTTGGTTGCAACATATCACTGGGTCTGGTCACAGTGGAGAGCAGTATGTGCATCTACAAGGGCAGCACAGAAGAGTTACCTCTGTTCGTATCTTTGCCTCCAGGTGATCTTTACTGGATAACTAAATATCAGAGGCTCCTTGTTATTGGATCCCGTGATCACTTTACATTCAGAATGAGATTTACTACATGCTGATCAGCAAGTTCCATAGACCAGTAATTTAAGATGTTCAGAGCCCTCTCCCAGTAATAACCAAGGTAGACTAGTTACTTAATATTAGCTCACTAGAAGCTCATGTATTTTGGTTTGAAACTAGATTTATCTCTTTATGCAAAGATTAAGAATTTGTTTGAGCATGTCCAAAAACCAGAAATACCTGCTCTCTCCCTCCCCAGTATTTTAGCCTCATTTATTGTGCAAATCTGACTAAAAAAAATCTCTTCTGAAATAGGGGAGAACCTTAGATTTTCCATCAAGAAACAAGCAGGCTGGTGTTTGTATGCATATTCATTTATATCAGCTGCTCAGAAACTCAGTTCTGCAATAGAATTTGTTTTATCCCTTCAGACAGTGCTAACAGTGCACAAACAAAAAATTTCTATTAAGACAGGTGCAGTGTGAAATACATTGCAGGGAGGAAAATGTACAGCTGGTTGAGAATGTGACACAAGCAGTGAAATCAATTACTAAGACATGAAGAGTTCCCATGAAGGGAGCATGATGAGATGCATCTCAAAACATAGGCAAGTTGCTTAAGTCCCAGTTTGGCACTGCAATTTCAGTGTGCTCCATGTCAAGGGAGGGAAAAGCTGCAGATGGACTTGAGCTGCCTGAAAAAAAAAATCACTAGCAGAGTGGAAATGCCGCTAAAGTAAGTAGTAGTGTTTTTTTAAGCACCAGCTGCTTTATTTGGATAACCGTATCAGAAATTAGATACAACAAAAAAATCACAAGCAGCATCCCATTATGGAAACTGTTCGCTCCCCAGTAACAGCTCAGCTTTTGATGAACTTAATGTCAGGTCAGTCTTAGCGGAATATCCTTCCACAAAGTTACCGTGGTGCAGTTCTGCATCGTGCATGTGACTTCTAGCCAGAACTAGCATTCACTTCAGGTATCAAACGGGTCAGACTTGAGATCACACAGAGCTAAAAGAAGTCTTGGAGGTACCAATCTATGCCATAGTATAGAGACAACTGCGAAACTACAGTGCAGCTCAGCACTGTCTCAAAAAAGCTCTATCTGACTTCCCCATGAGGAAAAAGTGTTCTTTACCAAGAGATCCCCAAGATCTCACCTGAGGAGCCTCTCAGGACCAGACTGCAGGGAGCGTTATGGGCTATTTATTATATTTTTTTATTTTATATTTTATTATATTATTATGTGCTATTTATTACATTATATTACTACCTCCCCCAGTGATCTGAAAAATCTGCTCTACACATCAAGACTACCTCACTAGCTAGCAGAAGAAATGCTTTGAAGGGAAGGCAGTTGCCTAGAAATGGTTTTCAGGATCATAGCCAAGACATAGTGGGGTCTGTCAAAGTTTCTACAGTTGCAATTGATAACATCCCTCTCCAGCTGCTCAGAGCTCTGGCTGCACATGTTTCCCTGCTTCTGCTTGGTCCAAAACAGGAGAAACTCTTATGAGTGAATGCAGATTCTTAGGCACTCGGATGGAGCTAGTTAAACACAGACAGAATATAGTTTTTAATAATGACTTCCTTTGGAGCCTGATGGGAATATCAGGCAGAACATTGTTGCAGCTCTTGAGTGTAGGTGAAGCAACATTTGAAATCCCAGCTATGCTCCTGGTCCAGAGACCAACTGCTCTTGAAACTCATTATGCAACACTAGCAGGTAAGTCAAGCAACAAAAGCTTACTAGTTCCCCCATAAGACAGTTCCTACTCTATGGTTATGATTACATCTATTGCTTTCCGATCCTCCTTACAGATCCTTCATGGGACACAGCAACAGCCAAGAAACTTGGTCCCCAACACTCCCAGAACCAAAAACAGTATATTATTTTTGAGACTGCATGTAATTACTGATTAGGCTGAGTTCTCTTGAGGATATTATCCTATTGTTTAATCTTTGAATCCCTTAATAAAGGGTTGTGATTTTTCTTACAACAGTAAAGGTCAGTACCAGCTGTAGGCCTTCCACTGCTCTGTCACTTACCTGATCAAAGAGTTGCTTCCCTGTAGTGTTGGGCTGGATGGCAAACTCCAGCTCAGCATCCATGGTGGTAACACGCACACTGATCTGGAAGAGAGAAGATGCACTGTTATAATACATGCGCCAAGTGCTACCACACAGTAAAAAGCAGCACCAGCTCCCAAACCTCCAGAAGCTCCAATGCCAACGGTCAGAAGTCTCCTGTCAGTCTCTTAATAGTTTACTAACAGAACATAAACCTTCCTGTCTTCCAGTTTATTACAGTTATTCCAACTAATACTGCCACATGCAAGACAGACAGTCAGAGCTTATAAAGTCAGCTTTCTGAGCACAGACTATCCCAGCACTCTTCACTAAAGCAAAGATGTTCCAGACCTTGGTACACACAACCAGACACCTAGCTTCTCTGATATTCAAGTGAAAGAAGTTCTGGGAAACACTAGGAACTTGGTCTGTTGCAGAAGGCCAGCGGGTATAGAACAATATTGTTCTAGTTTCCATGGATATTTGGGCAAACAAGGCACAATCCCTGGCATACTCGGAGGGCAGAGTGCAAAACAGACATGATGGAAGAATGACCTTATGTGTTAAGGCAAAAAGAATACATAGTGATCTAACACATTCACTAAGAAGTGCATCTCTAGGTAGGCAATAGTTTCCTGCCTTCAGGTCCTTCTGGAAGGAGGAAGATCCCTGTCATCACTAAAGGAGTGTTTTATGTGCAAATTACTATGCAGTCATGATTTCATAACAATACTAGGCCTTTGACATAAAAAGTAAGTTAGATGTAAGATCATCAACTTTTAGAAGAAATGCTCAATGACACATTGTCTTAACAATGAAAGACTCATAAGCAAAATCTCATAAGCATTTTTCCACAGGTAACATGAAAGTGGGGAGGGGACAACAGCAAGGGACTTCACAGTTTCATCTCACAGAAGCAGGGAAATCTCTGTAAATATTAAGGACACACCAGTAGTCTACCCAGCAAAAGCTCTTCTCCCTTCCCCAAAGAAGGTTTAAAACACAGCTGATTCTATTCACAAACCCTGGGTATTGCTGGGAAATGTCTGCAGATCCTCAGAAGCAGACAGGAACATTCCAGCCTGAGAACAGAGATGACCGTTAAATTTTGATCAGGCTGACTTTAAGGCTGTCAGATACTCTACAGTTCTTGAGAATTTATTTCTATTTCTGTACCTATCAATTTAAAAAGGAAAAAAGAATGCTTTACGACTTATGTACACAGGCTGGAAATAGTTTTAGTACAAACTGTATTCTAACGCTTTTCCATCAAGGCAGAGTTTCAAAACAGAGTTATGTGGACAAGATTCCTGGTGCACCAATCCCCAGCATACAGGCCCTACATTAATAGCTCTCACCGTTGCCAACAGACAAAGCAGCCTGCAACACCAAATCCCGATTTGTTCGTTCTTCAGTGCAATCAATCCTCTTAGCCCTCCCTACAAGCCCTCTCTTCCTTGTGTGGGGGGGACAGAGAAGGCGTAGGCTGTGGACAGTTTTGCTAAGAATAACTCAAATTCAAATTTAGACTAGATTTTAACCACATGACACTAGAGACCAAAAAAAAGCAAGAGTAAGCAGAGAAATATTCAAGGAACCACCCAATACTGCTATGAAAGCAGCCAAGCCAGTTCAGATCCCCCTATTTCTTCTGGCAAATTTCATACAGATTTCATCTATTTTACTAAGACAGAAGAATGCAAAGGACCTTTAACTAAATTTGTTCATAAACATGAAGGACTAGCTAAGACCAAGTGCAATGCAGGCAGACCACCACACCCAAATATATCTCAACGTTTCGTGGCAAGCCCACTGAAGTCTGGTACAAGACAGCACTATTTGGGGCTTGGTATCCCCTGGCAATGAAGTGGGGGCAGTTCTTGCTTGGAGTTTAGCGACAAACCTAAGTATGTTCTCCAAGAGGTTAAAGGTAGGCTTAGTGCAGCAAGGCTGAAGTCAAAAAGAGTTGCAGCTCTGATTTTAGCAGGGAGGGATATTTAGAAAACGTTGGAGCAAGGAGATGATTGATCAGGAATAAGTAGCTTTTGAAGCTCTCTGAACCTTTTGACATGAAGCAGAACCAAGAAAAAATATCCCACAGAAGTAGTAAGGAGAGCGCAAACAGCCTAAACTCAGGAGCTATCCAGGTTTATTTCCAAACCAGCCACTTCCAATGGCCTTAGGAGTACTTGCTAGGGCTTGTCAGAACTGGTCTCTCAACCCGTGCTGGAGCTGTTGACAACTAGCTGATTTTACAGTGCTTTGGTGAAGCAGGAATCTTAGCACTTGCTAGAAGTGCTGAGGGCTCCCTGAACAAAAAATTTGCTAATTATACTTAGTAGTTGTCCCTTGCACAGCTTGTTTGCTGGTTTGTCCATCTGCCTTGGCACACCAGGGAGGGCCAAGGTGTCTGTGAGCCACTTAAAGGTATGACAGGGGTTACACTAAGCAAGACATTAAGCAACAGGTTATTTCTTGATTGTTTATTTTAAAGTCTTTCTTTTTCCACCCAAGCCACTGTTGCTGCACCACTGACCAAGGAAGGAAAATAGTTGTTACGCTGCACTGTTTAAGGATAAAATCCAGAAACTGCTAAATCACTGGCATAGATGTTAACACTAAACATCTAAGCATGGTGGAAATGAAGAAAACTCCAAACCAGATCTTAAAAATTAAAATAAAGCTGCTTCAATAAACATTCTTACAGAATACAATAGGATTTCTACATGAATTATATAAGACTTAAGATAAGGTCCCCTTCACAAAGCAGAGTCCTCTTGCTGTCACTCACTGGAACACACTCGTGCTACCTGGGCAGTGACAGCGCTGTGGTTTGTGTGTTCAGGCTGTCCCCAGGAGCGGCCGTGGTGCCTCAGGACGAGGAGCAGCAGCGAAGCCCCAAGTGGAACCACACAGGCCAGTTGGGTTGTGCTTGTTCAGCTCTCGCACAAGACACCGCAGGAAAGGGGACCGCACCCCGGCGGCGGCGCATTAAATGCGGCGCGGATGTCAAGCGTCAAGGGGCTGAGCGAGGGCCAGCGTGCCCTGCACACATCTAAGCACCGGGTGCACACTGGGCTGAGCAGCAGGCTGCTGAAAGCCGAGTCTTGTAAACCTCACTGGTCTGGAAACAGCACACAGGGAAACTTTTTCCCCTCATATGCTGCTAAGCTGTTTTTTGAGCTAGTTGCTGTGGCTTGGCAAGGCATAGCGACAATTGCCCATTTCAGGTGGTGGGAGGCACCGCTCTCCGTTCCCAGCCAGCTGATAAGAGACGCGAAACAAAACCTCAGGGCAGATGCACCTCAATGAGGTTGTTCTGTTTTGGTTCAAGAGCTGGTACAGAAAATCCAGACTGCCGCTTCTCGCATATAAAACGGCGAAGAAGCCAAGGACTCAGGGAGCTTCCTTCTCAAAGGCCCCCAGGGACCACCTTGGCCAGCTGGTTCCACCACCACAGGCACACGTCCTGCCTGCAGCTCCCAGGGCAGCCTGCACACTGGGAGACACGCGATGCTGCCCACCTCTCCCTGGCGGGGCACGACACCGGCGCTCGCTCTCCTCCAAAGCCTCCCTTTTCCTGAGCCGCCTCACTGACGCACGCCCAGCTGAGCACCACCCTGTGTGAGGCTCCACGAGACACGCAGCAGACAAGCACTATACGGGAAGAAACCAGCGTAATCCAGGCCCACTGTAGCTTAGACTCTTCCATTTGCTTCGCCCCTTCTGAGTTGTTCTCCTGAAGTGCTTTTAAAACATTACTCTAGTCTACCATCAGTATTCATTCTGAGCAGGAATAGCCTCAAGATTCATTAGTCATTTGGATTACTTAGAAATGCAAAGTGCAAAAGAAGTTTTCCTAGGCTAAATACCCTAGCATCTATGAAGGACCAGGCATAGACCTGCCTCATCTCCATGAGGAACAGCTGGGAAGACAGCCCTGCTACAAATGTTCCAGCTCAGAAGAAAAACTTTCTTCCAAGTAACAGAATGGGAACAGAAAACTGCTGTTCCCAAGTCATGGCAACAACCCCATCCTCTGCAGGCACCAACTCCCCATCCCATAATAAGGCAAGGGATAACCAAAAAGCCTGGTTATTTTCCCAGGAAAACACATAAGGAGAACTGAGCTGGAGCACTGCAGAGTGTAGCCCATCAGATAGGGGCTGTCCTGCAGGCTTGCTCGGTCCCTGCGAGCCCCTCCAGGAAGGAGGGCAGTTGTTGGCACGATCGCCACCACAGCAGAATATGGACAATAAGTACACACGACTCCTGTTCCAAGTCTGGACGGGAAAGGCACACGCTTCTAATCCTAGCTGTTATTCCTATTGCTCATAAGAGACATTTCCCCCACTGATCAAACCACGAGGTCCCACTGCTAGTACAGAACCCTTTTCCAAAATTGGCTCTTAGTAAACTTTTGTCTTCAATTCTCAACGTTCAGGAAGTACCGTTAGTGATGAAATCTGGGAGGTCCTATAACAGATTTACCAAAAATTCTATCCTCATTCAGTAAGTTCAACTGAAATTCTATTTAAAGCAACCCGTTGAGCTCATTTTTCCTAGTGTTTATAGTATAGTGAATACTGCATTCAGACGTCTGCCACCCTTGAAATCTTGCTCAGCTCTTAAACCGCCAGAATTTTTATCCTAGTAGCTGGACTCTAAAGAGGCTTCAAATGTTTTTACATTATCATTTAATGTTTTGCATGCAGAGCTAACTATATTGCATGAAATGCTTCCAGAACTGCACTTCATATACTAGAAAAAAAATTAAATATTTCAATAGGGAACTTTACATTCAGTAAGCTAAGTTTTCAGGGAAAACAAAACAAAGACAAAAACAAAAAAGCACAACCAACTGATTCATTTCATAACATCACCTCCAAGAAAGAACCAGAAATCCAATAATTCTATTTGAGGAATCGCCATTGTTTTATCAGTAAGTCAGGACTGCAGATCATCCCTACACAGCACACCGGAGCTTCCTGCTGCCAAGGTCAGTGCTGTGTGAGGGCGAGACCCCCTGCACAGACAGGGCCCTTTGCATGGATTAGA